TAAAATCAGTCTATGTGTTAAGCCAGGGTATTGCCTATCCACACACGAAATTGCAACCAAGTCGGTCTAGCTGTTTTTGCGTGACAGAATAAGAAATATAGGTACATCCATACATTTAGGTATGATTTAGGATTTCCGAATGAGTACTAATTTAGACTGCATGGTTGGTGCGGTGGCTGGGCAACTGGCTGCCGTGTAACGTGTCGCGGGTTCGACTCCCGCACGAAACAACTCTTTGTGTGATCCACAAATTGGTGTGCCGGGTCTGGGTGTCATGTGTATGTGAAATTGTGTTTGTAACCGCACCCACGACATAGGAGAAAATATTAATGTGGGCAACGGTTTTTAAAAAAGACAAAGATAAAAGACTAATTTTATTAAAATTGGTTCAATAGATTCCATGGAATTGGGCTTAAAGATTGGTATAAAGCCCAGTGCGTCATACATAAACGCACTTTACACTCAAAGAACATACAGACCGACGGATGTCTCGTTCCTGTACTGTAACCACTAACAATAAACGATATCAATGAACACATGATTGGGGACACAAAGGTCACAAGAACACGTGCCACCAATATAAGCCTATATGAGGTCAATTTATTGACATTTCATTATAATAACTATCGTGAGACATATGTAAGTACTAAAATTGAAAATAACGACTTACTTTTTGAAGTGTGGGAGAGCCATGCTTCGGCAAGAATTAGTCGGCTCAACCGGCATGAAAACACCACAGCGTTGTGTTTCGCCGTGTGAGTGAGAGTCATAAAGAAATTAACCGGGTTTTTTCCTCTGTGGTGAGGGTACAGGAGGTTTATTTCTTCCCAATCCTCAATGCCTCCCCAAATATCTAAATCACTAATCCCCAAAGGTCGACAACACAATCGTTACTCCTCCGTTGTTTTGGGGGTGTCCATGTGATTGTTTGCTGAGAAAAAAAAATACTCGCATTAATGAACTGAGAAACGTTTATGATGATGAATAAGAGTCCCGTTGTGACTTGAAAACAGTAGAGCCTTTAATTTTTAACAATAAAAAAATATTCTTTCATAAAGGTACTACCTACTTAGGTACCTACTACTAGTATTGTAAACGCGAAATTTGTTAATTAAAATGGATATATAGATCTGCGTTCAATCAATATGCTTAATCTAGGTTATTGACACTCGCTGTCTAACATAATGTATTTACGTATAAGATAGATGATATTTTATATAACAGATTGATATAATTTAAAAGATATCTATAAGAGGTTCAGCTAAGAACCTATGCTTCAGACAATACACTGACAAACAAAAAACTTATTAAACCATCAACATTGCCTATTTATTCAGTAAAACTATACCTAAAATAAATTAATTTCTATTTTCCTTCGTCTTTTTTACAATAATATTGTTAATGACAAGCAAGCAAATAAGCGGTATGCCTGATGACAAAACAATTATCATAGACGAAACCTATACTCAACCGGGGTCGCGAGTGCAAGCGTTGTTCCACGCTGGTCTTCTGTGAGACCATGAAGGACAGCTCTAGCGAATCCAGCCTATTCGTACCTACCGAAGCATCACATCATCAGCCTATAAATGCTCACTGCTAAGCAAAGGCCTCTTCTGTTTTGAGCATTAATCACCACGCTTGCACAAGATTGGCGATTTCAAACTTATAATTAGAAATTACCTCTACCTATGTCCAGATTTCCTCACGGTCTTTTGCTTCATCGTATGTCAGTGCATAGCTGTCTCAAACATAAAACAGCTTTATATTGATTGTACATAAATATGATTTAAACAACACATCTGTTTACATAAGACAGTTTCTACGTTAAAAATAAATATTTCGATATCAACTGCTGTTGATAAATGTGGCGTCTGAGACGATATTCACAACTGTATTTATTATCTTCGTTGTAACAGATAGACATATTTACATTTATATGTATATCGTGTGTATTGATTTGTTTTTTTTTGCTATTACCTACTCAAGGACGTTACCTAATGAGGACTTTAGCATAAACTGCAAGGTCGAAGATCAGCTTATCACTAATCGATGGAACTTTAAAAAAACGAAATACATTGGATTTTTTTGGCAATTTAAATGGCTAATTATGTGTTTTAGTGTAATTGAGGAAAAATAAACCACTAAACAGCGGTGTGTTTTACCGTCTGAATGAGGATACTGGAGGAGGCCCAATCCTCCCCCCCCCTCTCCATCCTTAATATCCGAAATCCGAAAAAGGCCGGAAACATACCCGTACTACGTAACTCCTTTAGTGTTGCAGGTGTCTATGGGCAGCGCCGATTGCTTCCCTGAATAAGGGAGACACTTAAGCAGATGGAATACCTGATGGTAAGCAATTGGTGCAGCCTATGGACAGCGATAAGACCAGAAAAGTTTGTTTCTAGATAAAATAGTTGTCAATACTTATATAGTGTAACAAATTGAAGAGTTAGAGCTGCCATTCTAACCCTGCTGTCTACGACAATAGGCCTATTACAATGAAATTAATACTTAACTAAATATATGTGATCTAATTTTTGACATTTGCGATGAAAGTATAAGTAAAAAAAGGTTCTTAAAATAAATGACTGTTTTTCTATTACTGACATACGCTCTATTATCGCTCTACGAGTTACCTCGACTGATTTCAAGCTGCACGGGGGCTCACAAAGTCATATTCACAAGTAGAATTTACTCTAGTTGGAAGCAGGGAGGATGGTAAGTCATTTTAACGAGTTAGGTGAGAAAAGCCTTAATGATATACCTTAATAAACATTGGACTCTGTTATGTAATGTATTACGTAAATTGATTTCACCGCCAATCCCAAACTTTTCCGACTCAATAACTTGGTATTTTCTAGTTTCAAAGCCAGCAACTAATGACAAAGGAAATGTATTGTTTCAGTAGCTACCATTGTGTTGATGTCACGCCATATTGACGTCAGAGGGGTTGGGCTTCATAGGACTTTAATATACCTGTCAGTCGCAGAAATAATAGATATAGCTCAGATAAGATTTGCACCTATGTAGGTCATCTAAAAATATTACGTCTTTTCAATATTAAATAGTTTCTTGACTGAATCGTTGGTTAAGCCTGTGGACTTAGAAAGCCGGCGTGAAACAACCACAGCGTTGTGTTTCGCCCTGTGAATGAGGTTCCCCTCCTCCGATCCCTCCCAAGTCTTAAAATCTTCTAATCCCTAATCCCGAAAAGGTTTACGACACATTCGTAACTTTATTGTTGCTGGTGTCCATGGGCGGCGCTGATTGCTTACCATCAGGAAATACGTCAACTCGATTGCCGTCCTATCACATTAAACAATTGACTGCGAAGCAAGAACAATTTTCAGATAATCTTCGAAATATTTTAGAAATTTTTGCCAATATTTTCAACTTTATGTGATTTTAATTGGGGACCTCTTTTTTAAGCAAACACTATGGCTGTGTTAGTATATTCCGCTATATGGCAACATACAAAAACAAAAAAGAACTTTTACACTTAAATAAATACACTACATGTTCAAAAATTCGACGTTTCAATACAATAAAATTTTAAAAAATAACTATACTTACATTTATTTATCGATCGACCGATACACTACATTTTAGATATTTTTTAGCTAATTTTTAAGAAATAAGTACGCTATTCGATTCAAAAATACTATGACGTCATAACTCAATGTTTCAAAAACAGTGTTAAAAAAAACGTTACGTACGTAATGAATTTGACTAGTTGGAAACTAATTGTTGTTTCGTGTCTGAGCGGTTTGTTAATGTGAATTTGAAAGTTTGAAAAACGCACCCACGACACATGGAAAGATCCTAACGCAGGGTAACGTTTAAAAAAAATGACAATCGCACAAAACCATCAGCATCACACGTGATGTTATTTATAAAAACAGATAAATATTTGTATATATATAGACAAAATAACGAACTGGATACTCGTATTATTATAGGTATTTTAAATAAATATAATTATATATATACATATAATAAAATTAAACTAGTCACGTGTTTGTATCACATTACTGTGAGTGCTATTTCTAATCAAGCACATGTTCCTGATACTACAGACATTTACTGGTAAAAACTAAATATGCTTATACAAAATATTTTCATAATTTATGTTTGTTCATAAAATATTAGATAGCAACATATCTATACCCCATTTATATTACATACTGTGAATTTTATATACATTTTTCATTACAAAGTCTTCAGTCGTGTATCGTGCAATGCTGTTTATTTATATGGGCCCCTATCTCAGCTCGAAATTCGTCAAGTTATCTTGTCAAACAGTTACGTGAGTAGGCTGTTAAACATAGTAATTAACTTAATAAGTCACAGCAAATTGTAATACAAAAATGTGGTTTGTGGTAACCTTAGGTACATTTAGTAAATGGGCCAAAAGCGAATCGATGTTATTAAAATGCTATACGTCATAGGGAAATACTTATTAAACTGATCATGAACATATTACCTAAATTCCTTATGCTGTAGGTAATGTGTGTGGTGGCCAATGATTCATAACAAGTAAAAAAATATATGAACTTAACCTACATACATATATGATTCTAACTTCTATAAAACGTGACTTATCAATCTGCGGTAATTGATTCCCAAACTAGGTCATACATCAATTGACTTAATAGAACCTGAATGTTCAGATCCCACACATCTGAAATTTCAAAGAAGTCACAGACCAGCTGTTTACAATTTTCATATTAAAACACTTACAAGCAAAGCCTGCAATAAACACAGCGCTAAAAATGTGTGCGTTTTGTTTTGACGCGTTGCCCTCACACACATGCAAACTCAACGCACACAAACGTGCATAACCTACAAATAAGCACACTGTACACACGTGCACGGTTTCCGTTGTAACGATATGACGCACGTGTGCAGGGTGGTGGGGAGGAGAGCGCGGGGGGCGGGGCAAATCGGAATGGATGGTTTATATAGGACGCGCTTACGCAGATGAAACCAGTTCCTTTCTAGACGTAAACAAACAAACACCTGAAAAGGTATCACAATTCGAAGCGCCGGCTGATAGCCAACTATGGGTACGTTCACCTTAACTATACATATCATTATACTCATCAACAATTATGTCACATTCACCCGATTCTCTTTTATCACCATACCATCTGTACTTCCTATTTTTCAATCTTAACTTGACCCTTTTATCAATCAGATCAGCTGTTTATTGATAGTTTCCACTTTATCTAACCTTTAGAATATCTCGTGTTTTCTGACTTACTGCGTATCATTTTCATCTTCTGATTAAATAATGTAATGTTGGGGAAAACACCTTGTTTATAGCTATATATTGGCATAGCAACTATTGTCCAATTCTCTTAATTGCTCGGGAAGCCTTATCGCTTTGTACAGACATTTTACTTCTTAATGTTATTTATTTACAATCAATAGAAATTGTTCTAAATTTCTTTGGAACAACTTTACGTAAAGAATTTGAATTTGTTCAACTATAGGACCACATATTAGGCTGCATTTATTACAATACGTTTCTTTTCAGTAAACTTGCCTAATATGGTTTTATTTTATACATATAGTAGTTACTTTCTTTTTGTACTTACTATAAAAATTTCGTTAGTTTTTCTTCGTTCGAATATTCGTTTCCTTGCTATAATTATAATAAATTATACCTACATACTAGAAATTTTAATACCACGAGTTAGGTTTGGCTTTTGAATTTGCTAGATAACAGAGATTATTTCGTGATGAATTTTTCCTTGTTCTACCAAAAACCTTTTCTCATATAACATCAATAATCACGCTTTTGTCATCATGGTGAAATATGATTTAATCCCATAACGCAAATTGCACCAGATTGTTTGATTACTTTATGGGACGATGCGTCATTTGTGGCACATAATAGCGTCCTCGCGTGCCGCAGTCTAGTCTAGACTAATTTAATTAACTAACGTTGTTCTTAGTCTAGAAAGGTTAACACACCCTATGCTTTTGTAGTCTCTAATTACATTGCGTCAATTCCCAACTCCTAAATATGATACCTACTTTCTTCAAACTTCGTCGCGTGTTCCTTGCGATTTCTCCGCAAATATTTTTCCAGTATTTCACTTTTGATCTCTCCCAAAATAAACTGTAGAAGGCCGAAACATTTTCTAAATAAGAGTTGACGTAAACCATGCCTGGTTTGGCTGGCTTTACGCCATTTTCGACATCAAAGTTCGCAATGACGTATGTAGCTACTAGCTATATGTATACAGTTATATATATGGTTGTGTATGTTGCCATTTCTGGCTTGTGACCGTGAGTCATCCGGTTTCCCATTACGAGTTATTTGCAAGCTTCGTCACAACACGCGATCAATTAGCATATTAGCAGTTCTTGGAGGCTGACCTTCGTGACGTTTCGATTATATACTTGGCTTCATACATCTGTGTGTCTACACTCACTGTCTAAACACTACTTAGTAACCACATTACTATGGGTACCGATGACGCAACATCTAGTCACGTTATCACGTTCATTGACAAAGGCCTAAAGGGGATTCTTAAAACGTGAGCTGTTATTGACCTCGTACACTCATACCATTTTATATTTTTAGATTCGTAAGTCACTTTAATGTAACGATTGTTTCTTTGTTACAGATACGTTAAATATAAAACCGTTAAGTAAGGATTTAGAGTGGTCTCTGGATGCACCCTTCGGTGCCAGCATGGAGGCCACTGGTGCGAGCGGGGCAGACGCCTCCGCCGCACCTATCGCATGCACGTCGAGCGAGGAGCGCGCGCTGCGCCGCGTCGTGGGTCGCTGGGGCGCCGAGTGGTTGAGCTGACTCGGCTCCGAGAAACGCGCTGCCGGCAGCTGGCCTGCCGACCACCCCCTGCCGCCTCCTCGGTGGGGGGCCCCCCGCCCCGCCCTGCGACTCAGCCTCCGACAATACGAGGACCTGGTCGCTAAGGCGGAGGCGCTGTTGAGCCGTCTCGTCGTCTCGGAAAATTATGACTCCATCAATAACTTCATTTCCCTGTACGATGCCTACATGGCAGCCCCAGACGCGACTCTTCAGGAGTACTTCCGAAAGTACAACCCTCCAATTCGTCCTCACAAGCACACGTGTGTTGGTCTGGCCATGGAAGTGGAGAAGACGTTAAAGGTCTTAGAGAAAGACTTCCCTGGTATCTCGAAATCCATGATGATAGTATCGTGTGATGAGAACATTCAAGATCTGATGGACTACGCGACATTCTGTCCTGGACCTCAAGGTTTCTTGATCGAAACTGAGAAGGACCACGTGATGCTTGCGATCAACGTGAAGGTTGACGGAAGGCCTGGCATGTTCCTGTCAGACCTGGGCTACCACATCGCCCGCGTCGTCACTGTGATGGTGGACCGTTGCTACCCTCACACTGGTAAGTTCCACATTGTAAACATCTACAAAAGTCTCTACCTATGAATCAGTCACTCATAGTTCCTTAACTAAACCTGATTCGTTTTTGTGTAGGTTGGTTCACCCAATCAGATGAGCCTCACTGCCGTAAGGAGTACAACTACCAGTTCAACCTGCAGAACAGCAACTACATCGAGTGGCACGAGCGTGAGACCAGGGGCACGGTGGTGAAAGAACGACTCTCCCTCGTGTACGTCGCCAAGGCGTACCTCACTGCTGTCAGCGTTACGGAGAAGAGGAACATCGTTTGGGACTTGAGGTTGGTACTACTTATATAAAAACGATTGACTTAATTGAAATTGTAAGCACGGATTTAAGGCTCAATTATCTAGCAAACCAGAATAATCTCGTCTAAGTCTATCTAATAAAATATTTCTCGTTTCTGGTGAAATAGACCTACATAAGTGTATACGTCCAGAAAACCTGTCTATAATAATAAGAACGGAAATCAGCTAAAGAAAAAGCGATTAAACTTAACGATATACATCTCTAGCTCCCCCTTTTTAAAGTACCAGCGTGATGTTATCACGTTACGTGAACATTTTACTAAACCCTGTGAATCACTTATTACATAAACAGCTGACAATCGCTGAAGTAAAAGTATATATCTGTTTATCAGCAAATACTCGAAGAACAATAGCTTATGTATCCAACTGTTTGTGATAAGACAAATCTGTGTCAGTTATCAACAATTTTATCTATTTACCTAAGATGCATACTATCATTGCATTTTATTGCTAAGCAAACTTGAATAGGATTTAATTCGTGTTGATTTTTCGAGGAAAATAAGTTCGTAAAGCATTGCACGTCATCACCAGCCACAATAACAATCTGTACTTACTTCTACCTATACATACCTTCTTCTACCAATATATACTGTTACAATAACACTTTCTTAATTAACCATAGAAAAGTTATTGACGATAGACGAATACAAAATGTTAGCAAAAACCTTAACCGGTGACTTAAAAAGAGTCATAATATATCAACACAAAAAATTAGAATATAGAATGACGACTTTACCATACTTACTAGGGTTATTTTTGAGGGCAGAAAAGCAATCAATTGACTTACCCCACTCCGATAAGGAGCGAGATAGAGTGTCAGGCTCTTTCTGACTCATAACCAGCCCGTTCCTTTTTCTTGGTCCGGGTCGGTGCCATGGCCATATTATTTATTGCGCTTACATCCGAAACCCCGGCAAAATATAAATTGTTGACGTAAATTTTGAGCTCCCCAATTATCGTGTACCAGGACATCATAACTCAATTAGATATTATTAGTAACGAGTAACCGGAGGCCCAATCTTTCCCTACCCCCAATCCCTCCTCAATCCTTAATTCTCCAAATCCCTAATCCCTAAAAGGTCGGCAACGCACTCGTAACTCCTCCGTTGCGGGTGTCCATGAGTGACGCTGATTGCTTACCATCAGGTAATCCGTCTGCTCGTTTGCCGATCTATTAAATAAATAAAAAAAAAACGATCGACTGTTAATTAACGTGACAGATATGTTAAATACTTGTTATGTAGGTACTATTATTTTGCTTATTGCGTCGATCGTAATGTCTGTGATAAAAAGACAGATCTTTATTATGGAGATAAGATATCCGATGTCAATGTTTTGATATTGATTTTTCAGTCGTGTAAAGACTATATGGAGCTTACAAATGCGTATTTATTCTCAATGGCTTAAGGTTTAAACTCGTTACAATCTGTTTGGTCACATTTAGGTGAATGTAGAATCTATTACTCTTAAAATATGACAATAGATTCACAATGTGAATGAATAATTTTTGCTATGGACTCAAGTTTTGACTCGACAGCGGTTTTATATTAGAATATATTTCAATACCCACCGCTATCGCTATGCCGTCCAGAGTATTTCCGTTCCCGAACAGTGACGTCAATCGTAATATTGTACCTAATTCATTACAGTTTTCCTTCATAACACCGAAAAATATTTATAGAATTCAGCCAACGAAATGGGAACATTGAAACTTTTGACTAGCTATGAATAAAATTATCAATGACGAAGACTTGAGAAAGAAGATTATTTCTATCTTTCTTTACCAAAGATATTTTCCCATTAATACTTTTTTTTCCTTTTGTACTTTTTCTTTATCTCTTCTTTATTATCACTACATAGTCTATATCCCTATGTATGCTTAATTAAATCTTTAAAACTACGCAACAAATTTTAATGCGATCTTTTACACAGTTTTATACATAGAGTGATTCAAGAGGATGGTATAAATGTATAATTACATTCATTAAATAGTGGAGGAATTTAGTATCAGCATTTCACCCGTGCGAAGAGAGAAGGGAGAGATTTTGTACCAAAATATATCAAACTATTGAACATCCTGTAAACCAATCAATCACACCCAGTTTCTAAAAGGCTTGTCAACGCTAAAAAATGAATCTCCTGTTAAATCTCTTGTCAAGTCACCTGATTGGTTGTTGATAATTCAGCCAACCAATCAGATGACTTGACAAGAGATTAAATTGATTTTAACATTGATCGGCCTTTTGGAAACCGGGTGTCAGTGTACAATATTTTAAAAATAAAACATTAAAAACTCTTTTATTGTAGCTACTTATATCCTCCTTTGATTATATCAATTTCTAACTGGTTTTTTGTTATTATTTCCAGGAGTCTTCTAGCTAGAGATCCCAAGGGTCGTTTGACCGCCGGTATCTACTTCCCAATCAAGAAGAAGGACCAACAGTTCACCATGTTCTTCGATGCCAACACTGGCAAGCAAAGGAAGAAGCTTAAGTTCGAAACATTCTTGAAATTGCAAAAGGTAAACATTTTTAATAATTATTGTAAAATGACGTACTTATTTATTTTACTTTGTACACAAAGAATATGGGTGGCTTAATGCCTACAAGCATTCTCGATAGCCAACCATAGTGATGAATTGAGGTTACAATTAATGTGGTGAAAAACAAATAGGCACAAAATGAAAAAAAAAATACAGTAATAATTTTATTAGTTTTGTTCTAACGAAGTATGTATTTATTTAAACAATCTATAAGAAAAAATGTAAAAAGAACGAAAATCGAAAAAGTTGAGCTGTATTCACTATCCACTTACATTTTACTGTCAAATTCATATAAATATGGATCGCAATCCACAATATATGCGCTACATAGTCGTCATTACTCTGGCAAACAGCCAGACAACAATATAACATATTCCTATGAAATTCATATTGCGATTCATTACAGTACAGTACAGTAGAGTACAACGCCATCTATTGAACTCGATCAAAACTACAGCGTTGCAAAAACAGGTTACGGCTGCTCGTTGTTTAGTCGATGCCTGTGTTTAGTAAACAATAATTTTCATTATGACAACATAAAAATAAAATTACTATTTGTAACGAAATAATTACCTATTAATCCTATATATTATTTCATTTGCTGCTATGCGTGGTAAATAATATAAACCTATTTGTTATCAAAAGTAGCCCAAAAACCAAGAAAATATCCACTTTCATGTCATAATGAACATTCCAGAGAACAAAACACCTTTTTATATTACCAAATAAATAACTTTCAATTTCTTCATTCCAGATTCCTGATGAGGTGGTAGATGAGGTAGAACAGTGCAACGACCAGCTTCGTCTCCGTGATGGTGAGCTGCTGTCCATCCTGAACAAGCTAGCCACCATCATGTCTGATGAGGAGTACATGGTAGAACTCATGGAAATCAACGACAAAATCGTACAACTATCTGCTGGAAACTAAATTAACAACTATGGAATATCATCATCATCAACAAGAGGTGGCTTTGGGTCAGACGTCTGAACTCAGACCTTGGTCAGACCTTAAATTAGAACAAAAACCATCTTAATGAAATCTGACTTTGAAGAACTTTTGTTAGATCAGAGGTTTCCAACCATTTTTTCACAATAAATTAAATATTTAAATTAAATTAAAATTGCACTCACTTTTTTTAAATGTCAGGTTGGACACCTCTGTGTTGTCTATTGATGGAGTTCTAATATTCCGAGTTTCTTTGTATCAAAAATCGGATAGTTTAATATCGATTTGAAAACATCGTAGTGATTACTAATCGAGTGCATGTATCGATTAGATTAACACGGATTAGAATAGAGACGAGTGTTTAGCGCTCGTTAGAAAAATGGATGTGACATTATTTTAATTTTTTGCACTTCTTCATCAATTTTTTTTTGTTTTATTCGTTTAGCATCTAGCGTTTTTGTCATTTATAAATTGTATTTTCACATCTTGTAGAACTAGCGCACAATTAAATGTTTTAGTTTACTCGAAAACCTAGCAAAGGATAGAGATTAATAACCATTGTTATATATATTTAAACATGTAGCATATATATTATTTTTTCATATATTCTATTCATTTTTTTTATTATTCTCTTCGATAATATTAATTTGAAACAATGAAACAATGAAACAATGAATTTATTTTTGCAAATAGGCCATAAAACGGCACTTTTACACGTCAATTTATATGTGAAAAACTAGATGAAGCCGGCATTTCCTATCTGACTACTCTGAGAAGAAATGCCGAAACAAACTCAGAGGTCAGTCTCTTTTCAAGTCCAGACAATGTAAAAATAACATAATGTGAGAGAATCGTGCAAGTTCATTCTGTAGTGGTCTTTTGAGGAAAGAACCACACCAGTTTAAGTGGACCCGTTCTGAAGACAGGCACGCAAGTGTCAGTTTGCAACCAGTATAGCTAGTGCTGCTGAGTTGTCCGACGAACAATACCGATCTAAAGAACATTTGGGTGGGTCGCGCAAGTACTCAAACTGTCAGAACGCAGATAACTGGTAATCAAAAAGCACGGCAAGTCTCACACGGTCCTTACACTAACAATAAAATAAAATAATAAAAATGTCAATAAATAAATAAAAAAAAATGTCAAAAAAATAAAAAATAAAATGTCACAATAGGTGATTATGTCATTGTATAAAAAATAAAAAATAAACGTAATGTCAAATTGTATATAAAATTGTAACTTATGTTACAAACATGTCAACATGACCTGTGCAGACATTACAGCGGCTCATTCCCATGCCTGACTATCCTCTAAGTAGTCTTTTATTTTATAAAATGCTTTACAGCAAAGTTTAGCCTTTATTACACTTTTAAATTTATTGAGGCTCAAATTTTGAATATCGCTAGGAATTTTATTGTAAAAGCGTATACATTGACATCTAAACGAACTAGTTATTTTCTGAAGCCTGGAGGCAGGGACAACATATTTGTTTTTCCCCCTCGTGTTAATATTATGTATATCACTATGCTTCTTAAATAAGCTTTTGTTTTTATGAGCGTGAATTACATTTTCATAAATATATTGTGAGGCAACCGTCATTATCTTAGTTTCCTTAAATAATTCTCTGAGCGAATGCCTCGGACTAAGATTATAGATTGATCGAATAGCCCTTTTCTGCAGAACAAAAATAGACTGAATGTCAGCAGCATTCCCCCACAACAAAATACCGTATGACATGATGCTGTGGAAATAACTAAAATAAACTAACCGCGCTGTATCTACATCTGTTAAATTTCTAATTTTTTTAACGGCATATGCTGCAGAACTGAGCTTCTTCGACAAGCCATCTATATGAGGGCCCCACTGGAGCTTAGCGTCCAGGGTTATACCTAAAAAGACAGTTGTATCTACAGGACTCAACTCCTCGCCCTTGACAAGCACACTGGTTTTTACCTGTTTAACATTTGGTGTTGTGAATTTAATACATTTAGTTTTAGTTTCGTTTAGTAATAAGTTATTAACACCAAACCAGTGAACTATTTCTGAGAGAGCACTGTTTACATTGTCAATAACTAATTGTCGTCGTCTGAGTTTGAATAATAGTGAGGTATCATCAGCAAACAGCACTATCTCGTGTTTATCCCTTACAAGGTAAGGCAAGTCATTAATATAGATAAGAAATAAAAACGGGCCGAGAATAGAACCCTGCGGAACACCCATCTTCACAACAGACCCGGCAGAAACCACTCCGTTTACTTCAACTCTCTGAACCCTATTACTCAGGTATGAGGTAAGAAGGTCCAGAGATGCACCTCTTATTCCGTAATGGGATAGCTTCCTGATCAGTGTATCATGAAGCACACAATCGAACGCCTTGGATAAATCACAAAATATTCCCAAAGCGTCGCTTGAGTCCTCCCACGCGTCGTAAATGTGATTAAGAAGTTCAACACCGGCATCAGTTGTTGAACGACCCCTTGTAAATCCGAACTGTTTCGCATGTAATAATTTATTTCTATTAAAAAATCTTTGCATTTGATCTAAAATAATTTTTTCAAAAATTTTACTGAACGTAGGTAGCACTGAAATAGGTCTAAAGTTAGTGGGGTCAGAAGTACTACCTGATTTAAATAATGGAATTATTTTACTACATTTCATAAGATCAGGAAACACACCACAGTCAATACAGTTATTAAAGATTTGAGCTAATACAGGTGCTACAATAGTTATTACAGAGCTTGTAATATACACAGAATTGCCCCATAGATCTGCAGTCTTTTTGTTATTCAAAGTATTAAAGATTTTAACAATTTCCTTGTTATCTATGTGCTCGAAGGAAAACCCTGAATCGCAAGCTACAACATGTTTTTTGAGTAAAGACTCTGCAACAGTGGGAGATGAATTCAGTGACTTAGTAGTGGATACAGGAATGTCGGAAAAGAAATTTTCAAAAGCAGTTGCAATTTCTACATCCGCTTTTATTAACTTATTATCAATTACAAGACTATGTTGATTTATTCTCTTTTTAGACCTTCCTGCCTCACTGTTGATAATATTCCAAGTGTCTTTGATAACATTGGTACTGTTCTTTATCTTAGAGCTTAAGAATAATGATTTAGCAATAGAGCAAACCTTTTTGAATAATTTAGAATAGTTTTTTACATATTCACTGAATTCAACAGTGTTAATATATGTCCGCTCATTATAAAGCTCATAGAGGCGCTTTCTACTCTTATAGATACCAGTGGTTGCCCAATCACCGAAAGACGCATTGCTATTAGCTGATATAGTTTTATCTGAAAAAGTAGACTTAAACTCTGTTAGGTACATTTTAAAAAACTTATCATATAAAGTGCTAGAATTCTTATAATTCAACAACAAAGGCAATTTGTTGCTGAGTTTAGCTTTGAAAAATTCAATGCGTCTTTTAGTCTTCGGATTAACTGTGATAAATTGTTTTGATACTATATTTATTTCTTTTGTTAAAGAAATTAACTGACCACAGTGATCGGAATCAAGTACTGAAATTATTTCTTTGTTAACTGGCACAATGTCAGTATAAATATTGTCCAGGCAAGTGGCACTAGTGGGTGTTATCCTAGTTGGCTCCAGAAACAAATTCGCAAGGTTGTATGAAGAAAATAAACTTACAATTTTTGTGCTTAAACTACATTTTTCTAATAAATTTATATTAAAATCACCACATGTAATGATGGATTTCTTTGAATTTGTAAGTTTACTTAGAACTTCATCCATTACTGTTTCAAAGCAGTCATACAAACCAGAAGGTGGTCTATACACGCTTAATACAATAAACCGCTCCAATTCCACACAGGCTATTTCAACAGTACGCTCAACAGAGTAACTAACTATATCTTTACGATCTTTGAATTTGAGCTGGTTACTTATCAGTATAAGTGACCCACCATGTATAGCGTTTTCTCTGCTGAACGAGCTACCAATCTGGTGCTTACCAAAATTGAACATGAGCTGATGGGGTTTTAGCCAATGTTCAGTAATACACAAAATATCCACATTATTACAATTTAAAAATAACTCTATTTCCAATTCTTTACTCATAAAGCCTTGAATGTTTTGGTGAACCAGATTAATAACCTTATTACTGTTTAATTTGCAAGAGTTTGTCTCTATTGTCTTATTTAATAATTTAAATTATTATGAATGTCAGTATTAGGTGACTCATTATGAATGTCAATATTTTTTGGTTGCTCAATAGGAGTAACCTGTTTAGCCAAGTTATTGGCTGATATATTAAAAAAATATGATAGCGACATTGCTATTTGTCTTAAATAATATTTTGAAAGATAGTACCTATCTTTTGTCCTATATATATTAAGACCAACATAATTGTTGGTGTCTATGAAGTGAATATTAGTATTAATACTTAAGTTATACAATGTAGTATTAATTTTATATCTACTATTGTTTTCTTCCTGTGGCAATGATTTTATATAAGGCAATGCAAATATAATTATCTGCTTTAAATTCAGTTTGGCAAGTGAATTATGGAAATTGATTAAACTTTTTTTATTAAGACTACCTCTGTTACCACACATTATAATGAGGGTAGAATCTGGATTAAATCTATATTTATTAATTTTATCCAAAATATTACCAAAACTACAGCCGGGCATACAGTGATTAAATGTAGACTGTCCAGGTAATTCATTTGTCAACATTGAACCTAAGTTCTTTCCAATCTCATCACTGAAAATGACAATATTATGATTACTAGGATTACAATTATTAAACAGTAAACCTCTACCATGAGGTAAGGTGGTCTCACATGCTGGCACAGAAAGAGCAGGCAGTATAGCATCAGGAGTGCACTTCTCACACTGTTTCTCCTGCGAGCTTACCAACTCATTCATTGCCAACATGTATTCCCTCATCTGCCTTTCTGAAGCACTATATTTATTAGACATTATTTCTAACTTTGATGTTAATTGTTCTAGTTCTGACTGCAGGCTCTGTGTATCAGTTTCATA